GTTTAAGGGGTCAAAACAAATTTTAGGGTTTATAATTTCAGATTTAGGCTTTAAAGATGCATAATTAGTGGTATTTTTGCAAATGGACATTCCTAATTGACATTCTTGCAAATTTACACACCAAAAGTGGCATTTTTGCAATTACCCCTTCTATATATTTTACAGAGTTAAGTTTAACTAAATGTAATATTTAGACTTACTATATCATCTATTTAAAAAAATTTTGATATATTAAAAAAGCTTTTTATTATTGTAGATGATAACTACACTTACAAATATTTTTGTATTTTATTATTAGAAAACATATATTTTTTGTTTGTTACGTCCAACAAATTTATATAAATATAAAATTTATTTAATTTATCGCATACTCTACTATTTACACAAATAATAAAACTCAATTTGACACTTCAAATAAATTGATTTAAATAATATTTTTATTAGTTTTAATATTTGATGCAAAATTGATCAAAGCATATGACATTGAAATATGTTTAGTAAATATTTAATTTTATTACATTTATGCACAATACATATAATTTTGTACGTTTATAAATATTAGAATACACATCTAAATATTAAGATCGATTAGAAAATATATTTCAATATTTAATTTTACGCTTGGCGTGGGTCAAAATTTAGTGGGAAATTAATTGAGCATAATATGGTTGGACAGATCATGAGAGTTGATTATTTAGTTTCGTTTTCAATAATTTTCTTATTGCTCACATAGACTTCAGGTAGGGAGTTAATTTTTTCAGAATTTTCAGATTAGCAAAGGGGACAAGGGTTTATAGATTTAAATTCATTTTGTTTTATCAGTAAAGTGTTACATTTTCCTTCTTTTTTTTTCCTTTGGGCTCTGTACTCTTATCTGTTGAGAAGAAGACAAGTAATACACTATATAAAGGTTACATGAGTCTTGCAATTTTTAGTCTGTGTGGCAAATGTGATGTGCACTTCTTTAAATGGAATATTTGATTAGGTAGCTCTTGAGGCATTAAGTAGTTTCTATAGATTTGTTCTTAGCAGAATATTGTATAGGCTAAAGCATTGTTTTTCCTGAGAATTGAAGAATAAAAGAATATTGTAGAATACTTTCATATCATAACTCATAAGTCAATATGTTATCATTTTTAAATTTACAGTAAATTGCATGAAATGCAGTATGTTCTTTGGTGGTCTATGGTTGATTTACTGTTTAATAATTTCTTGTTATGCAGTGTCTTTCTTACAGTGGTTGTTCATAATCTTCATATCATTTTTACTCTTCACAGCAAACGAAGGTGGAAAGTAGTTACAAGGAGGAGTATAGACCCACCATCTGAAGACATGCGCCGTGGGAAGCTATTAACGGTATGATAAGAGGATATGTGTAGTCTTCTCTCTTGTCTTAATTAAGCTCTTGATTTTGACTCTTACTCGTTTGCATGTCAGAAGTTTTCATCATGAGATATGTTTGGTTTCGACATATGTGCTACCATAGGCATGTGCGAGCAATAACCATGTATTCAAGCAATCCACACGGAAAAGCTTGTTCTTAGTCCTTGATTTTTGAAACTTGTTGGTAGTATTTTTATATTTAACATTTTGGTTGATTTAGAATTAAAAAGATTTTGGATTCACTCAATGCATTTTAAGTTTAAGGGAGTATTATATAAAAGCTTCCAAATTATATCATGGTTTTTCATCTAGCCGATGCAATGAATCTAACGAACTCTTTTCTTGGTTAATAAAGGAATGTTGCTTGATATTGTGAAATGTGAATTGAACTCCATAAACGATGCACATTTGTAAGAAAACTTTTACAACCTCGAGAGGCATGTGGGATATGTGATCACATTTGCTTTCTAATTGAGCTAACCTCATAGACAAACTTATAATCATACATTTTGGAAGTGAATCTCTTCGTGTTCATTTACTATGTCTTCCAAGTAGAAAAGTAGGAATAGATCCATACATCATTCAATGTATACAGTCTAAAACTCTAAAGAAAAAAACCAATGAACATATGTCTAAACCTACGATTATAATATGAAAACAATCATGGATAATATCCGCTTTAAATATCTACAATCTACATTAAAATATATAAAAAAAGATTCACATAAACTTTATATTGTATATACAAACTGAGAAAGGTTACAAAAATAAAAACTGTATAATTTTACAAAGTTAAAAATGTAACTCTCGCGAACAAAATTTTTATATGTCAACATTATACAGATTCGTAGTCTGTAAATGGGAAAATTAGATGAGAACAACTTTGTAAAATTTTGGTTTAATAAAATGGCAAGAGCTTACAAGAACATAAAATAACAGATAAAACATATTCGTCTTACAATAATTTAATTAAACACCCACGTATATACATATTTCAGTTTAGAAGAAAATTTAACAAGAGTTAGAATTTTCCATTGTTGCAAGCTTTTCAGGTTGCCACCAGTACGAGGCGCACTAGGAGCTAGGAATCACAACTATACTTTGCAAATTTCGTAAGAGAATAAATGAAACAAGTTATGTATGTGTTCGCTCAGAAAATTCATACTTGATTCATAGAAGATTTATTCGGTTGAGTATGTGTCGTCGCTGTCTGTAAAACAAAGAAGAAGGATTTGCATTATGAAGCTATAGTGTGTCAGTGAAAGTGTCTATCTTTAAGGTGTAAATAATACTTGCGTACAATCTCAGAGATACCTTTGTGGATATATTTACTCGGTGAGAGATTCTCAACGAAAGTGTGATAAATTAAACTAAATGGCGATGAAAAACTTACTTTGTGTGTATGTGTCCTGTTTTAAAATCATTTAGTCTCTGCTGAACAATTTTTAAAACAAGAGGCTTAAATTTGTTGGTTGGAAACGACGGGTTTCATGGCTGAAGGATTGGATACATTCAAGAGATAAAAAGAAAACTATGTTGTCGATATATATGTTCAAGTCAAAATAACTAAATTTTATATACAATACTTGTCCCTAATGTGATCGAAGTTACAAAAAAACCAGCAATAGTACTTATGGTTCATTCCTACACTTTCAATTGACAACATAAACTCAAATTTTATATTTGTAATAGGAAAATGTAATTTGATGGTTTCAAACTTTACAATGTACTCAACATAATAAATTAGTTTGTGTATGAATAACCCCCGCGTATGCGCGCGTATTGGCCTAGTATTATATATAAAACTTGAAGTTTGATTTATCATCTAATTTGTTTTTTAAACGACACATCGATGGTGCAAGAGAATGATAATACATTATTTAAATTAATTCTCTTCCAACAAAAAAAAAATTGTGTAGTTAGTTGAAACATAACCCATAGTGAGACTTCTTTTAGAACATTTTTATACTTTGTAGCATGGAAAAAGTACATGGTTAATAATTTGTTTTGTAAAAAGTAATTTAACATTTTCACAAATATCTACTAAAATTTTAGAATTTTTATGGATATGCTACTGACATAAAATATCTATAAAACTAGAGTTTGATTTATCATCAAAACCTTTTTTGAAATTACATATCACATGTGGAAGAGAATGATAACATATTATTTAAACTAAATCTAAGGAGAAGACAAAACATTGGG